AAACTGAAATAAAAACTTCAAGTAAGATTTTTCATTTTAAAAAATTACTTTTAAATCTTAGGTATAGCGTTTCTGTGGAGGTTCCTAAGTATATATATAAGAAAATCTAGTGAGGCGCCATAGCTTTTTCTTACCAAGTACTTCCTTGATGAATTTCATCTTAACATCAAGGAACTGGTTAGAAAAATAGAAATGATTATCATAAAAATAAATAGACATAATACGTCTATATTATTCAATGAAATATATATGAATATATATATATATGTGTGTGTCTGTGTGTGTGCGTGTGTGTGTATGTGAACAGGGAGGTCAAAATCAAGCGGCAATAATAACGCTTGGTTTTGACCTCTGTGTTCACTTTTATAAAATTGCGACAATTTACCCATCGCAACCTATATATATATATATATATATATATATATATATATATGATAAAATATAGAACAAATAGGAAACTTCGCCAGAGACTGAGGAAAAAACAGTTTTTCTCAGTCTCTGACAAAGCTTTAATAATAGTGAAACATGTTAGATTGAGAAACGGTTACTATTTGTTCTTTATTTCATCATCCTGTCGGATTCCAATCCATATTTGATCTGCATTTGATCTTTAACACCCCCCCCCACACACACAGACAGACACACACGTGTGTGTGTATTTTACTAATTGCTCACCAAATACAAAACCGACGAGCCACTCATGGCACAGGATTGACATCGATGAACGTGCAGAGATGGAAGACGTAAGAGCACACTTTAAGAGGATACGTAGGGAAAGATAACGATTAGCTCTCCAATTAAAGGGTTTAGATTTCAATAATCAGGGAAGCTTCATTGAAACAACGTTTTTTTTTTGGTAGAAAGCTGTGTAAAAAGAACTTCTTCCTTATTAACGGAATGCAAAGGAATGGGTATTATTCATCTCATTATCCATTGTATGCTTGTTTGTATATCGATGTTTGCTTTTTATTACGAGAAAGAGCAAGTTGTTATTGAATGGAAAAGCAGTTAAGATATAGACCTTTTGAAAATGAAGCTTCAGGAATGAACGTTGCTTCTTCAGTGATAATTACTGAGCTTATCTTCGTAATCTGTTCGAACTAATATCCTCTCCTTGTTCGTTATTATAATAACAATTTGGCCGTTGTATTATCCGTTCTTCTTCTGGTTTCTCTTGTATTGCCATTTATATTTAATCTAATTTGGTTTCCTCTTTTTCTAGCCACACATGATCTGTCATAATCTCTTTATGGATCATCGCTTTCCAATCTTCCTTAATCCTTACTTTTCAAGAGTAACTAGTCTTACGCTGATATTCTCTGATATGGAATAATTATACCAACCAAAATGAGGATATTAGTCCTAATAGATTATTTTGTAATAGCAATAACAATTTCTTAACTAAAATTCAAATTATATATATATATATATATATATATATATATATATATATATATATATATATATATATACGTGTGTTTGTGTGTGAAAGTGTGTGGATGTTACAATGGTAAAAATCCTGGTAAACCCAAAAAATTCCTCTCCATCTGAAAAAATAAGAAAAATATGATTTAAAACAGGACTTGGATTAGTATGTAAGTTTTTAAACAGATAATTCTAAATGGTTAACATATATCTCATATATTTCATATTTCGTATGACATAAAATGTAATATATATATATATATATATATATATATATATATATATATATATATTTGTGTGTGTGTGTGTGTGTGTGTGTGTGTGAATGTGTGTGTTGAACAATAAAAATATTAAAAAATTAAAATTTTCAGACACAATGGTTTGTCGATTGCTGAAAGAAGAACAATACATGTGAAAATGAAGCTCCATCTGTTTAAAAAAAACAAATGGTGCATTTGATGAAGGCCGTAGAAGAGATCGGTTGAAACATTGTAGTAATAGTAAAAAGCAATGAATGAGGTCAACGATCTGTAAGATACTTCAGTTAGAATTTCGGTGTTGGCTTTTCTTTGATCAGAGTGGCTTCTTAGTATTTTCAGTATGAGAATTGAAAATAATAAGAATTACAAGCAAATTTTCTCGACTTACATAATGTATTTCGTGAAACTCTGAAATCTTGCGCGACATTTTCATTTGGGTACATTACTTCTCCTTTTACCGTCCAGTCAGGCATTCTGGTCTCCAACCACTGAAGAAGAATTGGACAAAAAGAAAAAAAAAAAATCAAGAACGAACACAATTCTTTTTCCTCTCAGTTTTTCTTTCATTCATTTCTTTCAACTTTTGTTACTTTATTAAATGTATCAATTAAAATTGTAGCGTTAAATTATTGTGGGTAGTGTAACGATTATCAACGTGTAAAATGGAACCAGCGAGCCAAGTTCAAATTCTGGTCTCGTTTGTTGTGTTCATTTTTGTATTGATGTCTTTGGGTAACCAGTCTTGGAGAAGAATATCACTAGATTTAAAATTCTATAGAAAGCAACGGAACACCATTCCAGTACAATTCACAAGAAACAGCAATTCACAGATTAAAAAAGGAATATCTGAAGAGCTACAATCCTTTATGTTTTGTCATAATAAAAAAATGGAAAAAAATTGTGTGATGCGTTTTGTCATTTAAGACTTCATTGAAATATAGTTATATATATTTTTGATGGATTATATATGTATATAAAGAGGTGGCATATCAAAATGTAAGTGTTTAAATGTCGAAAGTCATGAGAAAAAAGTAACATCTCTCCTTGCAACAAACATCCCGTCAAAAAAGTAAAGGGAATAAATATGATAAATAAACTCATGACTAATTTAGATGTTAAATCCCTTCATACCAATAATATTAACAAATACTTGATGTTAACAAATACTTATTAAAAATCATCTAACACAATCCAAAATAAAACTCTCCCTAACAATAGCTTAAATCATAAAAAATTACAGATTCATCGCCAATCAATGCTAATTTAGCTTTAACAATAATTTTTATAAACAAAATATTTAGATGACCAATGGGTGTGCCTCTGAGTGGGGGTTAGTGTGTCTTTTCTTGGGGGGTCTTCCATCTTTTTTTTATTAACATGTCCCAATAAAACTACCTTACATGTCCTTGTAGATAAACTAAACAAAGTCAAACATACGATAGAATTTATTTACAAAACAGAAACAAATATGCTACCTTTTCCCGATATTATGTTACAATATACTGATAATGTCCATCGCAGATCAAGTAATAAAAATTACCTCATAAATTTCCATTCTCACCATAACAACAGAATGAAACCCGGAATAATTATCGAATCCTATATAAGAGCATTCATAATTTGTAGCACTCACTATTTACAGAAGAAATACATTGAACATAATTTTAAGCTCCTCCAATTTTCAAATTTAGTGGTAAATGGAATTACTGGAAGGGTTTTAGAATTATTCCTATAGGTTAATATATATATATATATATATATATATATATATATATAGCAAAAAAATAAATATGTTATAAAATCGCTACATAAATAGCCATTTTGTTTCAGCGCTTCTGGCGTCTTATCAAATGATGGCGTTGATTGTAAAATAAAGGGTTTTAAAAGGTTCAAATCGACCAAACATCCATCGCAAGGCGAAACGCTGTTACATAGGCTACAATGACTAATCAAATACAAGTATACGAGAATTCAAAAAGCTTGATAACGAACCTTGTTTATAATAATTAATGCCTTAATGTTAGGGTTAGACTAAAATAGAAATCATTCTAACTAATAAATATTACATTTTACTATAAAATTGAAAATTAAAAATTACCTATTTTAAGTTTTAAATTTCATCTGTATTAAGTTAAAAAATTATAAAATTATTTAAAGAAGAAATTGAGGAAAAAATACATATGTCTTGTTATTTATTGTTTTTATTGAAAGGACAAAAATTTAGTTAGAATAAACGTTAAAATCTAATGATGCTCTAAGCTTCGTTACAACTTAGATACATTTGAAGTGATCATATGGGCTGGGGAGGGTGAAATCTTGCATAAGACAATACATACACAATCAGATTATAATACACAAACACGCAGGCATATTTAGCTATATAAACACGCAAAAACACGAACGAAGTAGTAAATAGATGTCCACAACCCTTTAAAAAACAACAAAAAAGACAACATATACATACAATGAAAGGCATTTATAATCGATCATACATACATACATTAATAAAGACACACTTATATAGACACCAACAAATATTCAAATTTGAAAGTGTTAGTAAACGAATTCAAATATACTATTAAAATATAATTTACATAGGCAAAGATATATAGATAAAAATGGTTCAATAGATAAAATTTAATAGGAGTAGTATAGAAAAGCAAATATTCGTCAATGAACAACATATACATATATACATACATATATATATATATATATATATATATATATATATATATATATATATATATATATATATGTATGTATGTATGTATTTATTTAATCAATGAACAACATATACATACATACATATATATATATATATATATATATATATATATATATATATGTATATATATGTATGTATGTATGTATATATATATATGTTGTTATTGACGAATATTTATATCCTACTCCTATTAAATTTATCTATTGAACCATTTTTATCTATATATATTTTGCTATATATATATATATATATATATATATATATATATATATATATATATATATATAATTTATTTATTCATTTACATTTGTGTGTATATAAAAGATATCCATTACTTACTTTTGTATTTTCCGGTGGTAGAACTATTGGCCCAGGAACTGTCATTGAAAGTGGATTGCATTTGTCGAGAAGTACCGTCACACCCAAATGATAGAAACACTGAAATATATTCAAAGATTTTAAAAGCTACTGATGAACTTTGAGGTTTAACTTGGCCATGTTTCGCTTCGAAATATCTCTCAAACACAAAACAAAGAAAAAGTTTTGGCCTTCATTTCTCTATCGTTATTAAATAGTAGTGTTCTTAGGGAGATGAAAGAAAATAAAGAGGACTAAAAGAAAAATTAAAACAAAAAAAAAAACTGCATATTCTTGAGGAAAGTCGAAGAACATACCGTATGAAATGTCGTGATAAAAAAAAAAAGATGACGATTTCCAAGCTTATCTTAGATATGACACTGAATATATCGGGTGACCTAGCTCAATATTCAGTCATAACCGACTTAGCAAGACAAGCTTGCTAACCATTACACAACGTCGAAGTACTCATAAATGATTTCATTTTTTTTTTTTGTAAGCATTTCATCCCAAGGAATGCGGAAGTGACACTAGTACGCAAGGGACTACAGGGAATGAAAGTAAGAAACTAGGTATAGTGGGGGAGATTGAGGAAAGGGTAAAAAGATGAACGGAGAAGGGTAAAAAGAAGAACGAGGATAAAGGCATCAGAAGTTGTCGATTGATATGAGATTTACATTTTTGAAGATTATAGTTATCAGGGAATCAAGTAAGAGGAAGGGAGCTCCACTGTTTGGAAGTGCGAGAGAAGAAGCTGTTGGAGTAGAAGCTGCGGTTAGATTTAAGTGTTTCGTCAGTAAAAGGGTGAGACCTAGACACCAATCTAGTAGCACGCTTAAATTCATGCAGTGAGATCACCGGTGAAAATATCTCCTCAGAACAGTTGCCATGAAAATATTTGTAGAAAAGACAGAGGGAAGCCACATCCCGTCTATGAGAAAGTGATTTTTGGGGATTTTGTCAAGAACCTCGAGATGATCAGCAGGGGCACCAGACCATATATGGCAACAGTATTCCATGCATGGACGATTGGTAGATTTGTAGATGTGAAGGATAGATTCAGACGAGAAAACACTTTTGGCGCGACACAGAGAAGCAACTTTCCTTGCGGTAGTTGCAGCTTCTGATTCAATGTAGTTGTTCCACCTCAGGTCAGGGGAAAACGTGAGACCAGGCATAAGCATAGCTTAGATGTGGCACAAGGCCGAATCTATGGGGCATCCAGTGAGGATCGAAATCACTTATCAGTCGTAATTATTCTCGCATAACAGACTTTCTAACCATTATACCACATCGACATGTAAAATGATTTTCTAAGCGTAGCTTAGATGTGGCACAAGGTCGAAAATGTGGAGCAGCTAGTGAGGATCGAACTCACTACTCAGTTATAAGTGATCTAGCAAGACAAGCTTGTTGACCATTCCATCACGTTGAAGTAGCTGCAATATTGACGACAAGCATGTAAATAATGTGTAGATTAATGAAAACACTTTCAGAATTCCATATATAAATATAAACAGGTCGAGTGTTAACTAAGTTTTATTCTTGAATATTTTTTATCTTTGAAACCATTCTCAAAGATCGGAGATAGTATCTCGTCATTACGCAACTAACTTCAATTATTCTTGCATTAGAAACACTCAATAAATTTCTAATGATTTTCTATTTAATTGGTAAATCTTGCGATTCTAAGAAAGTTCGCCGCTTTTTCGTTCAAGAGATAACGTCTGTAATTTCAAAACACGGACCTTAAAAAGTAACAAAAAGTAGTATTCTTGCAAGAATTTTATCTTCGAGAATCAAAGCATTTCAATCTTTCTCTCGAACGATCAGTCTTGTTTAACTTGATGTCAAGCTTGGTCTGCTTGTAAAGTTTTTGCTTGGTGCAGAGACCAAAGCTGACAAATGTTTGAAATAAGAATTTATATACTGACTTCGTAAATATAGAGCAGAGTGCTGCTCAGGTCTGTATCCTGAAAAGGGCACTTCAGCGTCGCCTCGCCGCGAGGGCAAAACACAGAATGCAACAGTGATGGGAAGATTCTGAAGGTCCTTCTGTACTGGGAACAGGACACTTGCAATAGGGCGACATCATCTTCGCTTCAAGGACGTCTGCAAAATGAACATGAGGGCGATGGACATGGGTATTGAGAAGTGGGAAGACGTTTCCAGAGAACGTTTTCACATGTATTCGTTGCAACAGATACTGCGCCGCCATCAGCAGCTGAACCATAGCTTTTTGGGTGCAGATCCATGGTTGCTCGAGACCGATGGATGCCACCTAATACAGCATTTTGGGGCTTTTTCGTTAGCCCCTAATCATTTTTTCGTTAGCCCCCACCGTTTTTTCGTTAGCCCCTAATCATTTTTTCGTTAGCCCCTAATCATTTTTTCGTTAGCTCCTACCATTTTTTTCGTTAGCCCCTAATCATTTTTACGTTAGCCCCTAATTTTCTCGTTAACCCCTAATCATTTTTTCGTTAGACCCCACCGTTTTTTCGTTAGCCCCTAATCATTTTTTCGTTAGCTCCTAACATTTTTTCGTTAGCCCATAATCATTTTTTTCGTTAACCCCTACCATTTTTTTCGTTAGCGCCTAATCATTTTTTCGTTAGCCCCTAATCATTTTTGCGTTAGCCCCTAATTTTCTCGTTAGCCCCTAATCATTTTTACGTTAGTCCCTAATCTTTTCGTTAACCCCTACCATTTCTTTCGTTAGCCCCTAATCATTTTTTCGTTAGCCCCTAATTTTTTCGTTAGCCTCTACCATTTTTTTCGTTAGCCCCTAATTTTCTCGTTAGCCCCTACCATTTTTTTCGTTAGCCCCTAATCATTTTTACGCTAGCCCCTAATTTTCTCGTTAGCCCCTACCATTTTTTTCGTTATCCCCAAATCATTTTTACGTTAGCCCCTAATCTTTTCGTTAACCCCTACCATTTTTTTCGTTAGCCCCTAATCATTTTTTCGTTAGCCCCTAATTTTTTCGTTAGCCTCTACCATTTTTTTCGTTAGCCCCTAATCATTTTTACGTTAGCCCCTACCATTTTTTTCGTTAGCCACTACCATTTATTTTTATTTTTTATTTTTGCTAGCCGCTACCATTTTTGTTAGCCCTAGCATGTTAAGTGAATTATTCTCGCTTTAAAAAGATAGTTTCCGGTTTGAGTTTCCGTGGTGAACAACCGCCATGTTTTAGTTCTTTTTTGCAAGAAAAAAAAAAGTAACTTTCAATACTTTAAAATGTTTCCTGTTAAAGATCCTAGAATTTGTATAATACAGATCCCTTTTCTGTTTGAGGGTCCTTAGTGAAAAGAAATAAGCAATGGAAAAAAAGTTGTCTCAATCGAAAAATGTTTGGTTAACTTTTCTTTCTCTTTCCCATTTAGTATGGACTGCAGTTGGCAAATCATGTGACTTTTAATAACCAGTCAGCAGAGCCCGTATAGAGACAGTCATCAGGTCGAAGATAAGATGTCATGCTGCCGTATAGCATCCGGCAGAAAGGCCTCTGATAAGGAGATTGGATGTTTTGAGGAGCGTCAAGCCGTGGCCCCCGATAGAGAGCCATCTCTTAATTGTTGTTGTCTCAGGTCCACCCTGACCCAGAGCGGTGGCACCATTTACGTCCCAGCTATGTGGAAATAGAGAAACCCCAAACAAAAAACAAAACACTAGGAAAGTATAAAAATACAGTTTTATAGTTCTTTACAACGTTACCTTTTTGTAAGGAAATTACCAGCAATAAATTTTTATAAAAAATTACCAACAATACATTTTATCATCTATAAACAAGATATCTAAGCAACATACGTTAACCCTGAAAATATAAAATTATGTACAAAATTTCTGTATTTGAAGGCATAAAATTACGTTCAAAATATATTTAAATGACTTCATAAAATTGCGCGCAAAATATTTATATTTCGACATTAAATAACTCATGAGGTTCAATATGCCGACAAACAAAATCAACCACAACTACATATCGTTTGACACATCATCCTTTAATATCATGCCGGGCTTGTAAGTAAAGACAGCTTTTCTGACATTCGCTGGATTTCCTTTTCATGGTCGGACAGAAAGCATGTAACATATTTCTTCAATTTGCTATCATTTTCTTTTTCTTAAATATTAAAAGTTTAATAAAACTTCCGACTTTTCAGTAACCATATTTATTTAATTTTAAATGGTTGGGCAAATATTTCTACTGATAGCAGAAACGACCAAGTCTGCCTACGTGTATTTAGTAATCACAAAGTACAAAGAGAAAAAAATGAACTTTCTGAATTTACTGTTTAATGAGAATTACCTGTATATTGTGAGTGCCAGTAGTGGGAGCAAGACCTTCGAGAGATACTGGAATTCTTTCAAGCCTGAAATGGGAAAAATCTTTTCGTCTGAATCATAAAATGTACTTGTTATGATGATCAAACTTACTAGCCATAGATATCCTACGTACACTAACTTAAAGTTAGAGCTCTCATTATGTTAACTACCAATTAGCTAAACATCTCCCTAAATCTTTTCAGTTTTGTGGGAACATTGTTATTATTAAAATAAAAATAAAATATAAAATAATAATAATGATGAAAATTATAAATAAAATAAAATAAAATTTAAACCTCGTTTAAAATAAATTAAATTAATAAAAATAATAAAATTAGTCCAAGCATGCAACAATGACTGTTCCTGCCGGAAGTACAGACACCCCGTCAAGAGACGTAAGATTCAATCTCTTCGTCCAAGGACTGTCGGGATGACAAAACGTGTGTAAGTTTCCTCCATGATAGGACTTGTGATATCACGGAGTGATTTACTCCCTTTTATAACATGAACCTTATAACAATTGTAATGTAAAACACATACACGAATACATAAATAGAATAGTATGAAATTAACAATGTATAATGTTTTTTTTTCTTATTGTTATTGTTTACGTTTTTTTGTACTGTTTTTCCTCGTGAACACAAGCCCACTTTTTATAACCACATGGCGTGAGTGAATATACCTTCACAATTTCACGCCCTGCGTGAATCTGAGGCTTCTCCTACAGAACTTATAAGTATAGTCATACCACAAAACCTGGAAAAATAATAATTATTTTAAGAAACTATTAAAAATGTAATAAAATAAACATAGTTTAATGACTAAACGAAACAACAATAATAACAACAAAGATGAGGATATTTCTCTGAATTTAAGCGTAGTACTAGATTGGTAACGAGGTCTCACTAGTTGTTATAATAACAACAAAGATGAGGACATTTTCTGTAAATGTAAATAATTATGATTTATGTATATTTAAAAAGGGTGTTTAATACAGGGTGTGTCAAAAATATTTCTACAAACTGTGGGGAGAAGGTTTTCACACCAAAACAAAGACAAAAGGGAGACATTTTGAACATTTCTTATGATGTTGCTGTGTTGAAGTACAAAGAAGGCATTTTGCCATACGTTTATATGGACATTTTACCTTGTTTTGATGTCAGGAACCTGCGCCCAAAGTTTGTAAACGTATTTTGGGAGTGTATCTTGGATTATACATTTAACAGAGTTTACCGTAAAACAATAATAACGCATTAACAAAGGATTTTCAGTCATATGTTTATATGAACTTTTTTCCTTGTTTTGGTTTGAGGAACCTGCGCCCAAAGTTTGTAAAAGTATTTTTGATACACCCTGTATATATTTATATATTAACATTATTTTGAATTTAATTCGTGATTTAAATCATTTATAATCATACATATTTAATTCCGGAATCGTCACGGGTTAAGACCTAATTAATTAACCCTCAGGGACTAAGACACAATTTAACACAATTAAGTCTTAGTACCGTACAAAAAGACAACCGGCAAAGCACAAAGAACTCGGTGAATTTTGAAGGAGTTCTTTTTTATATTTAAATAAGATGCTTTACATAGTACTTACCTAATTATTTATTTTACGAAATCAAAAACAAAGTTCGATGTTTACATTTTATCAGCTTTAATAAAGATAAATACTTCGGACAGCAATATTCGGTATATATTAGTAGCAAACGTCGAGTCTGCACGAATTATTTACAAACAGGCAAAATTTAGCGTATAAAGGTCAGTGGTAATGATTGGAATCAACATGGTAGCCAAACAGTTGAATGAGAGAACTTGTCAATTTAACCTTGCAACAAACGAAGCAAAAAACAAAAAAACAAAACAAAAAAACAAAAACAAAACAAACAAACAAAAACAAAAAATATGACCATAATATAAACCAAATTTGGTGAAGTGTAGAACTGCCTTAAAGGATTTCGGAAGATTTTCAATTAGAATTTAGTGATGCAAAAGTGAACCTTTTCAAGGACGATAAGGAACTGAAGTAGTGTTTTTTACCAGTTTTGTTTAAAGTATTTTACTCCAAGCAAAGCGATAATGCCACTAAATCGCAAATGATTATTGGGAGTGAAAGAGAACGAGAAGACTTTAGTGATGAGAAACAACAATAAAAGAACAGGAGATTTACGCTGTATTTAAACGTTCGAAGATTTTAGGTGACAGGTAAGGATGAAACCGGGTGAGAGTTTCACGGATGAGAAGTGCAAGGAAAACAACTATTAAAATCGAAGATACGGTCGCATCTAGCTAGTTAAACAACTAGTGAGACCTCGTCACTAGTCTAGTACAAAGGAAGAAAGCTCATTAGAACAATTGCCATGAAAATATTTGTAGAAAAGACAGAGAGAAGCTATGTCACGTCGGTGAGAAAGTGACTAAATTCGAGATGCCACCAGACCAGATATATATCACCAGGCAGCAATATTCAATGCACGGATGAATGGTAGATTTATAAATGTGCAAGATGGATTCTGAAGAGAAAAATTATCTGGCACGACACAGAGAACCAACTTTCCTTGTAGATCTAGCAATTGATTCAATATGATCACTCCATTCTACGTCAGTGGAAAACATGAGCCCATGAAGGTACAAGGAGTTTCACTCTTGAAGATTAACATCAGCTATGTTGATGGAAGGCAGAAAAAGGGATTAAATGAAAGCTGTTTTATTTTGGAAAGGTTAATATTTACAAGCCATTCCTTGCTCCAGTTAACCACTAACTAAAGGTCATTTTCGAAAGCAGCTGCCAATTTTACAATGTCAGACCTATCGGACTTACTATTAAGACAAAAGTAAATAGTTGTGTCATCAGCATAAATACTTTATTGGGAACTGATGACATTGGGAAGGTCGTTAACGAAGATAAGAAATAATGTAGATCCAAAGGCAGAACCCGGGCAGATCAATGTGAAATGAATCTCGAAGCGTGTCCATTCAACACGATTTTTTTAGGGACGATTGGATTGGGCTAAATATTCAACCAATGACAGCATAGCCCTTGAGCCTGAGGCGAACGCCATCATGTCGAATGCTTTCGAGATTGTAAAGTAGATTATGGAGCTAGATCTTTAAATAAAAGTCTTAACAATGAGTTAAATAATTTAAACGGGGATTAATAAATTTGTTAGTAAAATGTAAACGTAATACTTAAATACTTTTTCGCCGAAAAAGAAAAGAAAAGAAAGAAAGCAGGAAAACATGATAAAAAAAAGCTTCCAAACTTAATAAAAACAAAGTTTTATCGTCAAAATGATTGTTATTATTAAGAGGAAAGACCAAAGTATTTTTTATTGCTTTATTAAATTTTTCAATCCTTTCTTAGCACGTTTGAGATTTTGGTTAAGTTTTCTTTTTCTTTTCTTTTTTTTTTTACGTTAGCGGTCGACGTAATGATTACGTTAGTGTTTTAGTGACTTTTTTTCCGCTGATAAACACATTGATTTGAAAATTATTGAAAAAATCAAATTACTGTCGGATTTTAATGAAATTTTCAAGCCTTATTCACAACTGAATAAAATTATCTTTTGAAATTTTTGTTTTAGAAAATCTTGGTAAAAAAATATTTGTTTTACATAGTTTGCCCCCCGCCCCGGCCACTTAATTTCATGAAGTTTCGACAAATCAAATATTACAGGGTAAAAACTCTTCATATTTAAGTTAAATATGAAGAATTCTTTCTAGGCTCTTCCTGTGATTTGTTTTGTTTTGAACGTTTTTTAAAAATGGACATATTCTGACATTTTAAGCTTGCTTTATCAGACGGCGTTTTAAAAACGCAATAAATGACGCAGCACTTATTTCGATTAACGCATTACTTAAACGATTACTTCACTACTTATGTAAATGTAACAAATCTTAGTAGGCAATAATATAAGTGACGGATGGCGATGACACTGAACTGTTAGATATTTATGGCTAATTTATTTAAATAAGGAACTGATTATTGTTTGCGTCACCTGACAATAATTGTAAGTAAAATGATGCACTAAAATAACGAACCAATTAATCGTTTTAAGTTCTTTGAATATTGGTAGCTTTTAAAAATAAATATATAACCTAAAATTTTCATCTTACTTTTAAAATACTGATTGTATTCAACCTCCGTATTAAAAGACAAACATTCAAAAAAAAAAAAATCGAAAAAATATTTTAATTTAGAACAGGAACGATTTAATTATTTAAATTTTTCTTGTTCTAAATTAGAAATAGTTCAAAACAAATAATTTACTAAATTTTCCAACAGAGAAAAAAATGCGTTCCGTGGTAAGTTATCTCCCTTTTTCATCTGTTACTACAAAATAAAAAAAAAATACGAAATATATTTAATCTTCAATTTTACCTACTTGATATTTATTATTTCAAGAACAAGAAAAAGTGTGAGATGCCAATTTACAGGAGCCAAATGTATTGAAAAAAGACCTACATCTAACTCCAAAAGATCTAAGTTGGCAACTGTGAACTGTGAGTTGGCTTGTGTTGATTCGAACCTGTTTCAAACGTTTTAGATGCTGGGTTCAAATCAAAAAGACATCAGCATCTGAGGGCACGGAAAAAAGATAAACAAGGGAATGAAGATCCTGTAGGGGAAATATAAATCTGAGCAAATAATTATAAACCCGCTAACACACACACACACACACACACACACACACACACATATAAATATATATATATATATATATATATATATATATATACTTGTAAGAATGAGAAACAGTAAAACAAGTCTTATTTATTATCAGGTTTTATGTGTTGCAGATACCAGATACAGTATAACTGAGTAAAATGTGTGAGTTTGGGGTCAAATGTAGATCAAATATGCATCGGAATCCGACAGAATGATTAGATAAAGAATAAGTAAAATGTATACAGTCTTTCATGTGTGTTTTTTTTTAATAAATGTGTGTAATAAGTGTCCAGATAATTTAGTTAGAAAATACAAGAAGTGTATGGGGTTTTCTTACCTCGAATTTTTGTTTAGTGCTAAAAGAGAAATGTTACTATTATGGCCTGAAAAAGAAAAGGAGATTAAATTTTCGTTGACACATGTGTTGACGATATGTTTGTGTGAACTGCTTGTCCGATAGTCACACGTTTGTGTGTAGAGGAGAAAAGTGGGATCGATTCTCATTGGTTTAGGATTAGTGAATTAATGATAATTATAGTTGTTATAATTATTTTATTATAATTATTTTTTGCCACTATAATTAACTATATTTTTTTTACTTTTATGAACACGATAATCCTTAGAACTCAGAGAATAAAATAAAAAATCAACCAGACGGAACATGCTTGTCCTTTATCACATCAAAATAGGAAGCTATGCTAAGAAATGCGAAACGGGTGACAATTGCATGCAATTCTATTAACAGGTAGAACTTCGTTTTCACTACTTGCTATCAGTCAGTTAGAAAACTTTGAGTTGCCTTTATTTATGAAACAAATCTGTTGCAGTTTGTTTATCTGTCGTTTTAATGATTCAATTTCTTCATATACGCGTCTAGAGTGCGTGTTTTTCCATAAATAAACAATTATTTACTCCACATTTTTTTCTTTTTTGTAGACTTGAATGACAGTCAGGGTACACGCATCACTTCCAGTTGAAATATGCATAAAATCGTAATATATCATGCAATATTTTTCAACCAATCAAAATAGTTCGAAAGCAACCATTTTACAACATCGCCAACAAAGACACTGCTATGTCTACCTTTCTTTCTCACGTATGTATAAAAATAAGTCCTTAAATTTCCCCAGTGAAAAAAAAAGCTGTATTGTTCTCATACACACATGATGGCCACCATCTCATTGTCGGCCATCGTAAGATATTATCGTAAGATATTATTGTAAGACTCAA